TGCACCGCATGCCAGCTTATTAATTAAGTAGCTTATCAATGTCATCATCCATCCCGGTGTTTTATTGTTGACATCGTCCAATGCCAATTTTGTAGACATCACTCAACCCTAATTTGAATACATTGATTTACTCTGCAAGTAATTTTGTGACTGCATTTCCTTTGTGCGTTTCTTTTTTTTAAGTCATTATATAGGTCTTAAATTTCATTCATAATGGTCTTAAAAAGGTCTTAAATTTGACCAGGTGAAACCTGCAGAAACCCTGATATTGTTCCATTACCTCGTCTACCTGACTAAAAAATTTGCATAGTGTGGGATTTCTTATTTTAAACAATCTTTATTAGCTATCTTTATTTTCCATAAAACTCCACATTTAAAGCTCCCTTTTAAAAGTGCTGCTGATGGAATAAAATTATGCGTAGTCACTTTTCCCACAAAACACAGTAAAGTAAGTAGTAAAAGGAAATTTTATTTAGCTAAAGATTCAAGTTATTTCCACTTAACACCAAAAAATCTCATTAAGAATCCGGAAATACAGAATGTTCAACATTATTGCAAAAAAGAACGAAAACAAATTGATAATCAAAATTCCATCCATCCATCCATCCATCCATCCATCCATCCATCCATCCATCCATCCATCCATCCATCCATCCATCCATCCATCCATCCATCCATCCATCCATCCATCCATCCATCCATCCATCCATCCATCCATCCATCATCAACCGCTTATCATACGTACAGGGTCGCGGGGGGCTCGAGCCAATCCCAGTTAGCATCGGGCGAAAGGCAGGGTACACCCTGGACAGGTCGCCAGTCCATCGCAGGGCCACGCATAGACAAACAAACACTCACATTCACACCTAAGGACAATTTTTAGAGACACCAATTAACCTAGCCTGCATGTCTTTGGATGGTGGGAGGAAGCCGTAGCACCTGGAGAGAATCCATGTGGACACAGGGAGAACATGCAAACTCCTCTCAGAAAGGCTGGGGCAACCGGGGTTTGAACCCACAACCTTCTTGTTGTGAGGTGTCAGAATCAGAATCAGAAGGAGCCTTATTGCCAAGTAGTGTTTTACACATACGAGGAATTTACTGTGGTGATAAGGTGCTACACGTAGACAAACATACAGTCAACATAAATAAATGTAGAAATATATAAATATGGAATGGAATAACAACGTTGCAGATATATACATGTGCATTATTCTGGGTCTGTGCCGTGCAGAAGTGGCAACGGAAGAGAATATTGTGTACATATAAATATATAAACTGACAACATAAAAATATACAACAACAAAGATCAACAATCAATAACAAATATGTGCGACGTGCCAGGTCTGTGCCTGACACGAGATGAAACAGTATTTACATGTGCAGAGACATTTGTATCATTTGCAAGTGTGTGAGTGTCAGTGGGGGACCCGGGCCTTGTTAATGAGGCTAGTTGCAGACGGGAAGAAGCTGTTTTTGTTCGAGAGGTTTTGGTCCTGATGGACAGCAGCCTCCTGCCAGAGGGGAGAGTCTGAAACAGTTTGTGTCCGGGGTGGGAGGAGTCAGCTGCAATCTTTCCTGCTCGCCTCAGAGTCCTCGAGGAGTCCAGGTCCAGAAGAGAAGGAAGATTGCAGCCAATCACCTTCTCTGCAGAGCGAATGATGTGCTGCAGCCTGCCCTTGTGCCTGGCAGTGGCAGCAGCATACCAGATGGTGATGGAGGAGGTGAGTATGGACTCAATGATGGCAGTGTAGAAGTGCAACATCATTGTCTTTGGCAGGCTTCTTCAGCTGCCGCAGGAAGTGCATCCTCTACTGGGCCTTTTTGATGATGGAGAGATGAGCCCAATGAGGGTGGTGTCGTCCGCAAACTTCAGGAGCTTGACAGACTGGTGACTGGAGGTGCAGCTGTTGGTGTACAGGCAGAAGAGAAGGGGGGAAAAGACGCAGCCCTGAGGGGAACCGGTGCTGATGGTCCTGGAATCAGAGACATGTTTTCCCAGCTTCACGTGCTGCTTCCTGTCTGTCAGGAAGTCAGTGATCCACCTGCAGGTGGAGTCAGGCCCGTTCAGCTGAGAGAGCTTGTCCTGCAGTAGGGCCGGGATGATGGTGTTAAAAGCAGAGCTGAAATCCACAAACAGGATCCTGGCGTGGGTTCCTGGGGAGTCCAGGTGCTGCAGGATGTAGTGAAGGGCCATGTTTACTGCATCATCTACAGACATGTTGGCTCTGTAGGTGAACTGCAGGGGGTCCAGGAGTGGGTCTGTGATGGATTTTAGGTGGGACAACACAAGGCGTTCAGTGCTAACCACTGCACCACCGCGCCGCCCATTATCAAAATTGTTGCTGGTTAATTATCTGATCAAGCATTAAATTACTTTGTCTATTCAGCTTCATGCAAGATGTGCCTTATTTTGTGTCTGTTAAATGTAGAAATGATGTTTAAGGTTTTGATACTAATAAAGGGAACTTGAATTGTAATAATGGAGTTGTATTCGTATTATTCAGGACTACTATCTGAAAATGGGCATTTTGTTCATTTCAAGTTGACTAGTTGTAATTTTGTTGAGTGAGCTTCCATTAGTATTTGACTCTAGCACAATACATTTTTGGAGTAAATTTCCCTCGGAGTGTAAGTTGTGCACAATTACATTTACTGAGTAAAGAATAAGTGGAATTTAATTTTAATAAGCATTAGTGAATCTGTAATTTAGTATGTGGAAATTAAATGTTTTTTAAAAATGTATTATATTTAAGTTAAGTTTTGCTCGAAAATATTATTACCACTACTTAAGTTTGATTAAATATTATCATGAATCCGTGATGCAACACACTGACACTTACATCTGCAAGAGCTCAATTGTGCAATGGTGTTTGGTAATTTGGTCAATCAATAATAATTAATTTAATCTCGCAAAGAGCATGTTTGTGCAAATGATGAAATGTGGATGAAAATGATGATCGGATTGGTTCTGGAGCATACATTTCAATTGGCTACCTTTAGGGAATTACTTCATCACTTAAGTGTAATAAACACCCACTGCCTGTGTTATTACCATGTGATTGCGATGCATTATCACGTAGCTCAACTTTACCTTGTTTTCCATCTGTGCTGTCACCGCAGATATCCAGCTAGCCGTGGATTGTATGAGATTGAAAATGATTTAATAAATCAATTCTCAAACCATGCTGATAATAAGAATGACATTTAACATTGTGGTTAGGCGGCCACCTTAGTTGTCTACCAGCCATCCAAATAAAGTGACATGGAGCCCTGCTGCTAGAAAATCATAAACATGCTCAGCTGGCAGCAGTTCCACTGCAACAGATGCTGTAGCCTATGAGACAAATCCGCTTTACTGCATACCAATTTTTCAATTTGATTGTAGATGAGTCAGTCACTCAGTTAGGCATGTTCCTTCTCATCTCTGTATCTAATATGTTGTTTAGAAATGTTTTTTTTGTTGTCTGTCTGAACGTCCTGTTCCCTAGTGAGTGTTCTGTTCAGAGGACTGAATGTGTTTGGTATAGGCTGTGGTGAAGTCAGTGTTTCATCCTCGTATGTAAATATTGTGTAACTTATTCAGTTTTTCTCATGTGCTTTCGTTGATGAATTAATCCATTAAACATCAATTTAATTTGTCATTACTAGGCCTTTCTGACAGCAGATATTATGGCTTATAAATGCAGGAAAGCACATACACTGTACCCAGAAATGTTGACAATGGCTCTGTTTGATTTAACTGTAAGCCATGCCAGTATGACAGCATGCTCAATAGCAGGGCCCTGCAAGACCCCTAAATGTAACGCAGCAATTCATGCAATTAATTGCACCTGGAGACCACAGCTTGTTTTAGGTCACACACTTGATGTACAGGGTGGCAGTCATGATAGGTCTGGGTCATAACCAGTGTTACAACATGGGATTTTGTTGTTTTCAAAAGATTAGGGGCCAGATGGGACAGTTGGAAGCAGAGCAGTCAGACAATCACATCCACAAAAACACAATGCCATGAGTGCACAGACTCACTACTTCACTGTATTGGACATTGGTTAACATCAGTGAGCAGTGAAACCCTAACAAAAACAACATGAACATTGTACAACAACAATGCAATATTAATGATAATAATAATAAATGTACATAACATAACAAATCGTATTTTCGTGATCAGATATATTTATTTATTATACAAGCACCTTCCATGTCCCTGGTAAGCACTGTGCCACAGCGCCCCCTATCCCCACTTGGGGCTCACGGCGGGCTGTCTGTCAGTGTCGGCCTAAGCAGACTCCTCCTCCGCCATTTTTGACTGTAAACATCCTGTCGATTTTAAAAGGACATCGGTGAGCGGGAGGAAGGCGGCTGGCGCCATCTTGGTTGTTTTAATGAGTACAGCAGGGGAGAATTCGCTGGGAGAAATAACATAATAATCATCAATTTCACAGTGAAAGGGGTACTGTCGGTAAGTGTGTTTGCAGCAGAAATATTTACGCTTTGTCTTGTGTATTTTCCGAGATGAAATACGCATGCACGTTTGTGTTTATTTGTTGCGGCCTTCACTGTACAAGTAGCCGTTAGCCACAAGCTAGCGATACTGTTGGCAGAGGGGAAAAGTATCAGCAGGTTTTGATGTGCGCCTCGTTTCTGTGTGCTTTACTTTGTTTTCATGGGCGAATTAAAATTTTGTCCGCCGTTTTAGAATAGCTATAATTCTACTTGAACTAAGTTACATCGGTGTATATATAGTTTGTGCTTCACACGCACGGCATACGATTTCACTGCTCCTTTTGTAACGTTAGTTAGCTGGCGGCTAATTTAGTTCGCCCCACTTGATGGCGCCGACTATTTACTGGCGTTGGCCAATCCCTTGGCGCTTTTATCGTTTATTAAATACACACATAGCCAAGAAATTTTCACTTTCACAGCTGACTTGTGAATACGTGTAATTTAAGAATTTACAATCGCTCAAAGTAGAGTGCGGGAAATGGGTAGCTTACCACAGGCAGACATGTGCATTTTCAATGTTTGTCTCCCTGACTGCGAAATAGGCGGAACTTCAATGAAGTCAGCGCTTGTTTTGTTATAATCCCATTTATTAACGTTAAATGTGGTGGCCTGCGTTGGTAACGTTACCGTTAGCTTTTAAAGTTAATTAAATTAAGTACAAGACGCACAAGAAGTGCTTCGAGGAAGCTTTATCGATTTTAGTTGTTAAGGTTAGCCAATAAGCCTCTGAAATAAGGTTAATAAGGTTAGCGAAAGTTAACGTAAGTCACTATCGAAAGTCTTCATTGAGAGACACTAGAGCTTTCTTTCAGTTCGCAGGCAAATAGTTACTAAATACCAATGTTATCTAATATAGGTAAAACCAGTCTGCATTGTAAGGGGAGGTTCGCTTTAACGAGTCTCATCTTGGCATGGCTGTTATCTAACTTGCTTAAGAAGGAAGAAAGATCCTTAACTTAACATTGTTCAGTCTGTAAAAGCTTTTTGATCTGTTGTGGTTTGTGCAGCCTTAGTTATTAAGATTGAAAAACACTATTTACAAAATGTGATAACCTGGCTATTCTGAATCGTGTTGGAACAGCAGGATTTACCAAACATCCAATTGTTAATCATTGCTATCAGTGATTCTGTGCAGCATTCAAGCTACTTTCTCCCCCTGTCAGAGATGTCAGGGATAGTATTGATGAAGTTGGTTGAAAACAACCTTGTTTCTTGAAATTTTGTGATGGCACTCTGCTGTAAGTTTGTGTTTTGCATTGTGATATATTTTCCTTTTTGTCCTGACCTTTCTAGTGTTGGCTTCTTCTCATACATAAACAAATCACCCCCTGTTTTCCAGATAAACCATACCGCAGTGTGAGTGTGTGAGCCAGGGGAACCAGGGCAATGTTCTACGCCCACTTTGTCCTCAGCAAACGTGGGCCGCTGGCCAAGATCTGGCTAGCGGCCCACTGGGACAAGAAGCTGACCAAGGCTCATGTGTTCGAATGCAATTTAGAGAGCAGTGTGGAGAGCATCATCTCACCCAAGGTATCAAGACAAAAATGCAGTCTCTGCATTCTGGTGGTCCTGCTGCAGGACTTTAGTTCCCTTTGCAGGCTCTACTCTTGCTCCGATCCTGAATTGTTGTATTGCTTTATACTTCGGTTATTCATCCCATTAATTAAATGCAACGATGTTTAAAATGTTTTGTACCAAAGAAGAACAATAATGAATGGAAACACATTAGAACAGAATTCAGTGTCATGATTTAACACAATGTTTGCGTTATTTAAAACAACATATTGTAGTGTCCTTCATAAAATAGTTTATTTTCACTTTCTTTCTTCTGACCTTTTAAAGTGTACCCTTTGACACATGGTGTTTTTCCACTTAGGTGAAGATGGCATTGCGGACATCAGGCCACCTGCTCCTTGGGGTTGTGAGAATCTACCACAGGAAGGCCAAGTACCTGCTTGCTGACTGTAATGAAGCATTCATCAAGATCAAAATGGCTTTTAGGCCAGGTAAGGAGACACGACGAGCCAAATTAGTACTGGAGCAAAGTACATTCTGTAATTTTTGCGTGTTTTTTCTTTTCTGAAACCCACTAGGCTGAGAATAAAACAGAAAAGTTCCAGGAGTTAATGCTTCAGAGTTTGTTCCATCTTTAACCAGCAGGGTTACACGAGACTGTAAAGATGACACACTTAACCAGTTTTTATGATTGGTTTTCTCAAACAAAAACAACCGTTTTCTGAACTGTTGCAGTGGTACTGACTTGTTACGGTTGTTCTGAGACATAGTAGTGGATTACAGTTATGTGTTTATAACAATTTCACCACTTCTGTGTGTATTCAGGTGTGGTGGATCTACCTGAGGAAAACAGAGAAGCAGCCTACAATGCCATCACCTTACCTGAAGAGTTCCATGACTTTGACCAGCCACTCCCTGATCTGGAGTAAGATAACTACATTTACTAATTTCATCCCCTCATTTTTTTTGTATCAAACACTTTTATCAGTTAAAAAGATTGACTGACTGGTCTGTATGGTGAAACCCTTACTACTGTCACAAGGACTAGCATAGTTCACTGTCATTCAAGCACCAACTGTTGTTTTACTCATCCCAGATGACTTTTTGTGTGTGTGTGTGTGTGTGTGTGTGTGTTTGTTTTTTAAATTTTATTTTTTTTCCTTAAACAGTGACATAGATGTGGCCCAGCAGTTCACGCTGAATCAGAGCAGAGTAGAAGAGATCACCATGAGAGAAGATGTTGGCAACCTCAACCTCCTGCAGGACAACGACTTTGGTGTGGCATTCATACAACCCACCACACACACGATGAGGCCATTTCAACATGAGTAAATCTTAAGCCCCTTTTCCACTGCATGGTACCAGCTCTACTCGCCTTATTTTGGTTTTCCATTGTATCTGTACCTGCTACTAGGTCCTTTTTTTCGTATCATCTCCATCAAGGTGCAAAGCGAGCCGAGGCGATACTAAAACGTGATGTGAAAACACAGCAGACTACTGATTGGTCAGAGAGAATAGTCACTATTCACTGCATCATTATCATCATTGCGTGTGCCAGACAGAGGCCAGCAACAGAAAGTTTTATATTTTACAATTTTAATATGTTATTTCATCACTAAATCCACTGCTCAGAAGTTTTGAGATGAGAAATCAACTGTGTAGATTCTGAATATTGACAGTTTTAAGAAAAGTGATGGCGGGGGAAAACAATGTGCTTGAACGGAGTTGAGGAGCTCCACAAGTGATTGCAGGGGAAGCCTGCGCCAACCCGTGGGAGGAGCTCATGAGGTCGGTCAGCCGCCCACTCACACAGAGCCCTCTGGTCCTACAGTCACACAGACCGCTGCAGCAACAACGGGAGAGGAAAACACAGCTGTAAGGTTTTCATACCGCTGATCTGTCTTCACATTCTGAGTAATGTTCAAACGTTTTAACTTAAATCAAGAGACAGCTGTGTGTGGGTTGCTGGTGCGTGTGGGTTGCATTGAACATTACGTTGTGGCAGTTGTGTGTGGTGTTGCTATGACAACCAGCTACATTAAGAGGTACTATCCGCAATGGAAAACGGAGGACGGCGGGCCAAACCCGAGGCAAGACGAGTTGAGCTGGTACTAGTAATGGAAGACGGCATTACTGCACAATGATTTTAGATGGTGTATGTAGACTTAAGATAAAACATTATTCTATCAGAATAATAAAATTGTTATGTAAAACAAAACTTTATGTTGAAATTATAATATACTTTTAACCTGCTGTACTCTTCAGCTGACTTCGGCATGGATGACCGAGAGATGATGCGTGATGCCAGCACATTTGAGGAGGATATCATGCACGGTGCCACAGCCTCGAACCTTTTGCTAGAGGCTGAGCCTGGCCCTGCCAATCTCCCTGACAAGTCCAACCACATGGAGTATGATGACTTTGGCGACGGCTCCATGGGCAACAGTGATGGGGGAATGCTGGGTGAGCAGTGTTATTTTTTAAAATCTCAGAGTAGACTATATTGGACTAATGTTAAAGTTTTTCTGTGAGATGTTTATGAATAAGTAATGAAGAATGATTGTTAAGTTAATCCTATTTGTTGTTTAGTTGATAAGCTACTGAGCTCTGAAGACGGAGGCGGGATTTTTGATGACCCACCCGCCCTCACGGGAAGTGTCATGATGCCTCCAGGTCATGGAGACGATGAGGATGACTTTGACAACCTCCAGTCACGTAAGTGAAACAAAGGTCTTTTGTGTTTTTGTAAAGCATATGAGACAGGAAATGCTGATTTCTCTTACACATTGTCTCCATTCATCTTTAATAGTTAGCATGTTTCTGTAAAGTACATTTACATGTGGAGAACAGTCTTAACTGCGTGTTTAATTAACAATTAACTCATGTTGCAGAGGTCAGCTGAAAAGCCTGCTTAAAGGCCTGTGTGCCCAAAAGCGTTTTTACCGGCTGAAAATGCCACCTGCTCTTCTGAAAACGCCTAGCTGGGACCCCAAGGGTGCACTCTGGTGCGTTTTTTTTTTTTTCTCCCGGCTAAGACGCTTTGGTTGCTGTGATACATAATATCCATGGAAGTGATTTTTCAACTCTCTGCGACCAGTAAAAAAAACACTCAGTGCCTCGTCACGCTGCTGGCGATTTTACCATGTTATAAAAACGTGGCACTCCCATTGCAATGAATTGGAAAACTCAGGCCTCAGGAAAAAACGCTTTGGTGGACACAGGCCTTAGCAGTGCATTTAGAAGTGGACTGCACATTGTGTCACTACTTTCCTGTTTAAAAGGGAGTAGCAATTCAGTTGTGCAACATTTTGTGTGTGTGTGTAGCCGGTCCAGATAGCCCGGACTCTGGCCCAGCAGAGCCACTGCCAGCAATGGCTGACCAGACAGAACAGACCACTCTGGTTCACAATGAGGAGGAGGCCTTTGCCCTGGAGCCCATTGACATCACTGGTAAGACCCTCCCTTCCCTTTCTGTAGGCTGTACTTTAAAAAGAAAATCCTTTCTTTTTGTGTAAAATTCGTTATGATTTCTTCTCTGTAGCATTTTTGTAGAGTGTCTTTTCAAAGTATCCGTTCTCTAAATGCTTCACCATTTATTTTGAATTGTACTCCACAGAGCAAAGGAAGAAACTCGTAGGGAATGGTGCCCACACACATTTCACTGTGCATATTGAAAGCTAAAGACAGGATTGGCCTGTATGACAATTTACTGTATGCACTGTACGCTTTGAGATGGGTTGTTGACCAGTAAGATATATTGCTATTTTTTTTTTTTTTCTACCAATGTCCCTTAAATGTCTCTGGTTGTTTGGTGCAGTTGCAGGCAATGGTGCAAATTAATGAGCAACACAGCATTAATATACAGTTTGACCTATGGAACCCTTAAGGCTTAGCATTATTGGACAACCATATCACACATGCTGTAATGTTACTGCTAATGTTAAAGAAATGATAGTGAAGCAGTCATGAAGAGTTTTTTTTTTTTCTTCTTCAGTAAAAGAGACAAAGGCCAAGCGTAAGAGGAAGCTGATTGTGGACAGTGTGAAGGAGCTAGACAGTAAGACCATCAGGGCCCAACTGTCTGACTACTCTGACATTGTCACTACCCTGGACCTTGCCCCTCCCACTAAGAAACTCATGATGTGGAAGGAGACTGGAGGAGTGGAGAAGCTTTTCTCTCTGCCTGCTCAACCCCTTTGGAATGCCAGGCTGCTCAAGGTAACATATGGTTGATTTAAGTATGTACTGGTGGATAAATGTGTATATGCATCTGCTTGTAACTGTGAGGAAACGTATATTAAAACTGTCAGCTGTCTGCCTTAAATCACTGACAAGCAATATTACCAGTTGGAGAACGGTAATGAGCAAGCACACCGGAGAGTTGATTCTCCAAGTAGGTCAGACTCTGACACTGTTATGGAAAAAGGAGAGAATAGATTTATTATAATGTATCTTTCATTGACATTCTGTTCAGATTGTGGGATTTAAAATGAGAACAATGAAGGAACAGGAGATGGAGAAAGTGATTGGTTGTGTGTCTCTCTTCCCTATCCTTTCACACCCACATGTTAACCCTCCAGAATACTGAGGGGAAGCGTCTTGATGCATAATTTAGCAGACCTCCTTTTCCTTTTTGTCTAGCATCAGTTCTCACCAACAGTCTTTACATTTTTATTGCACTACTGAGTTAGCATAAAGTTTGCATTTTTATAATAAAACTTCCCACTAAGCGTAACTGTTGAACCTCTGTCAGATGTTCACACGCTGCCTGACGCCTCTGGTGCCAGACGAGATGAGGAAGAGGAGAAAGGGCGGTGAGGCAGACAGTCTGGATGAGTTCCTCAAAGAGCTGGAGAACCCAGAGGTGCCTCGAGAGGAGATCATGAGTCAGCACAGAGATGTTATCGGTAAGTCGTGCTGGAAGAGATGAGAGGTCATAGCCCAGTGCAGACAAGTCATCTTTTGTGCGAGAAGGAAACGGACTGGTCGTCAAATACTTCATAAGGCTGTGTTTAAATTTCTTTTTTACGTTGTATTGACAATCTCCCTTGTCCGTCCGTCAGACCCGACTATCATGGAGGAGCCCAGTATGCTGGCAGCCTCTGCAATGGAGGGCAGCAGAACGACCCTGGATGAGACGGTCATGCCTCCTCCGTCCACCCCCCGCGGTGTCAAACGCAAGACCCTCGACAAAGAGGGCACCCTTCCTGTGAGTACAACTAAGTTTAATTATTCCTCAGAAAGGTTGAGGTTGCATACTTGGTTTTGACTCGGGCGCATCATGCTTTCTCTCCTCCAGATGGCTCCCTTGGAGGAGCAGCAGCAGCAGCAAGTGGCTGACCACCTGTCTCAGAGGTTAGACATGCCTCAGGTGGATCTGCCCCCAGAGGAGAGCAGCATCAACCTCACCCAGCTTGTCCCTGAGCTTGACCTGCTTGGTGACAAGGGCAAAGACAAGAAGGATGATAGTGATGAAGAGGAGGTGAGGGGGAAATAATGGCTTTCTCTAGTACACTGGGAAATAGGTATTTGGTAGTAGTCATTTAATAGTGACACCTTTTGTCAGTTTGTGCCGCCTGAAGTGTTTATTAGAGAAATCATAAATAAAACAACAGAACAAAAATAAATAGCAAGGCTGTAGGGTAAAATTCCTGGTAATATAATTTAGCAGTTTATAGGAAATGCCTTTCTATAGAGATATAACATTGTACGTGCATCACTGTATGTGTTTGAGCCAGTTGATGCTGATGACTGTTTTCTGTGGCCTGCAGGAAGAGGATGGTCAGGCTGGTGATCAGGATCAGGAGGAGAAGAGATGGAACAAGAGAACCCAGCAGATGCTGCACGGTCTCCAGGTACATATAAGCTTTTACTGTGTTCACATTTTGTTGAAAACAGATTTGAAGTAGGCTGAAACGGCTGTAAGTATTTGTTTGTAAATTTGTCATTATGTATGCAGATTTCATTTTGGTTTCTGAGATTAAAACATCACATTACTTTTGTTTGTCTGTCATGTGCAAAATAACGTGGATCCCAGCTTCTTGAGCTAGTCCCCAAACCCCCGACCCCCTACTTAAGCGTCACTTCCATGTCAAAGGAGAGAACTGACACTTGTGCTTCTGTGTCCCCACAGCGCGTCATGGCTAAGACTGGCGCAGACTCAATCAGCCTGCTAGAATTGTGCCGGAACAACAACAAGAAGCAGGCAGCTGCCAAGTTTTACAGTTTCCTGGTCCTCAAGAAGCAGCAAGCCATCGAGGTCACCCAGACTGAACCCTACAGCGACATCATCGCCACCGCTGGACCAAGATTCCACCTTATTTAGACATCGGAAGAACAGACAAACACTCTGCTTGAAACAGACATACTTTTTTAATTACTCAACTTTTTTTGCCTTTTTAGTTTCCTGTCAGCCCATTTCTTTTTGGGGAAAGGGAGGGAGTAGTGGGGGAAGGGGTTGGAAACTTTTTAAAAAAGGATTTTACTGTACTACAGATGGAATTATGCAGTGTTCATTTGATTCAAAAGGAGCGAGGAAGAATGTTTAACAATTATATTTATAAAGCAACTTTTTTTCATTCACCAATTTGTCAGCGTTGCTTCATTTTGTTTGTAAGTTAAAGTTCCATTGTCTGCTCATTCCATAAGTTTTGTACCATTGCGCCCCCCCTCCCCCCACACCTGAAATATGGCAGATTTTAGATAAGAACCCTGTATTCACATAGAATCCCATATTGACTCTACATGTTCTGGAAAGGTACTGTTTTATTGCGCAGAAGTGTAACCTCTCCCACCCTGTTGCACTTGTTATTTCATGAAAATGAATCTGTCAAAAAAAATTGGTAAATCTTACCTGGCATTAAATATCATGTTTCAGATGTATAATTCAGGCAGTTTATCAATTAAGTTTTATGTAATATTTTTTGTACCTTTTTACGTTTATGCTTACAAACTTTTTGCATTATGTAACTAGGTAATGTACTTGTTACAGTAAGTTCAGTATCCCACCTTTTTAGTCTTCGGGTAACTTCTAGTTGTGATACATCTGTAAAGATTTGAAATAAAGTGTTTTAAGTACTTGGTAACTGGGTATTATTTATTCATCTGTGGTGACTTATTTTTAAATAATGGTCTTTATAAAGCTAGATAGCTACTCTGTTTATCCCCTGGGGAAATTTTCATGTCACAGCAGTACACAAACGAACCACAAGAATAGTGCAAAAGAACAATTAGTGACGGGGTTAAAGTATTTACTTCAACATGTGCCTGCAAATTGCTGTAAAATGTGCAAAACGGACGCTGCAACGCTTGGATGACATTGAATTGGAAGAAACTGTTAGTTTTAACATTTTTACGCCTTAACAATTACGATCTGTAATTTAAAGCAAGTTAGTAATAATGGTGGTCAAGTTGGTATGTGTGCCCGATTGCGAAGTACTGCAGAGAAGTGCCTCCATTGTCCCATTCTGTAGTTGTACAAAAACTGCAAGTAAATTTAGAAAATACTTGTTATACTTTTACAGTGTTTGTGGTAGGATTAGTTTAGGTTCACCATTAATTCAGTAGAAGTTCAGGTGAGGGAAAAGATGAGATGTCTACAAATAAGGAGGAAACATAATCTTTCGCCTTTGTTTCTACACGGACAGGAAGACGCACGTTTTTACCGGAAACGTCCGTCACTGAACGCTTTCCTCCCTTTTTCCGCGTGTGTCGGCTTCTAAATGGCTTCACGCAAAGACTCTGGGTCAGTACCTCCCGCCGCGATGGCTTCTACGGCCGGTACGTTGGATTCTCCTGTGAAACAGATCCAGATTGAGGGACTGGTAAGTGTTACTACGGTGTTTTGTTGCTAAATTTTGAAATCCGGTGGCAGACGGGAGATGAATCGGTTCACAAGTGTTCCCAGATGTGGATGCTAGCTAAAGTGTGAGCATCGTCATGGCGGACAGATAATGTGAAGCAGTGTCTTGAAACGTTCAATACTTTAACCGATGCTTGTATTTGCGTCCTAAACGTTAATGCTACTGGCAAACAGGGATACGGTTTTCCGTTTACAACCTCCCCAATGACCAGCAGGCTAACGTTAATAATAAGCTAACAGTTAGCATGTGATTAGCTTTGGGGATGCTACAGAGCCATGTACGTTTAAAACCAGGACTCCCTGGTTGCCTGGTGTTAAGGGAGCAATATATTATGACACTGCTGCTGCTTTCTGCTTCTTTTTTACATAGGTCGTGTTATTTGCCATAAAATAAGCTTGTAAATAGTACTTGCTTGGCTTGCTCATAATCCTTAGCATTCAGTTAGGTTCTAGACAGAACAGTCACTTCACAGTAGTAATTATAATAATATTCAATATAGCCGCAACATTGACATTTTCAGAGGAGAAGAAAAGACGCAGATGACTTGAGAGCTTAAAGTGGTGAAAGAAAGAAGGACTTTAAGATATTTAGGGATTCGCAAACTTGATTTTTACAGCATCCCACATTCAACCCACATTTTGTATTTCCAAGATTTAAAGTGAAATCTGCACAAACACTTTTAAGTAGAGGGGAAACAAGAAGAAAATGTCACAGGATCCAAATAAAATATGATCTGAACACTCCCATTGTCAGCAAGTCTGACTTGGTCACCTGGGGGATTTGAACCCTGGAGCTACTGGTGAAAGTTTCTTTCCACACACCTTCTGGCAAGTTGAGGTGGAGACGTCACATGTGCCAGACCTGGATAGTTTTGTCAAGATGTTGGTGAGAAAAAAAAAACAAAAAAACATCACACATCATTCTGCTGGTTTTGGGTGTGTTGTCAGTTATTTTGGTTGCATTGAACCCGAAACTGAGTAAAACAGAAATTGTTATGCATACTGTACAAGTCATGGAAAGATACTAAATATCACTGCAGACTCACTGTTTGATGGATCTAAAAAACCTTTGAAACACTTGATATCGGCCATCTAGAGAATGTCTGTGTTGATTTTGGTTGCATTTAAAGAAAGACTTGTGGAGATATAGATGTTAATTGATTTAGCAAATTTCAGCTCCCTAGGACATAGATTAGATTTTTTGAAGTTAGAAATGAGAAATGTCTAGAAATTTACACTTCTTGTAATAAGCCACGCCCACTTTGAGCAATTATTACCAAATTTTATGCATGAATTAAGTAGTGACCCTAGATCATAGAAACCGAATTTTGTATAAATCCATGCAGCAAATTATGAGGTATAAATTTTTTGCAAGTGTAGCGCCCCCTAGTGGAAAAATATCCCAGGACTGCTCAGCGAAGCTCGGGCCGAGCATCTGAACAGATGCGTCAAGTTTGGTTACATGAGCTTAAGCCAATTTTGATTTACGGGCATTTATGTAAAATTATACCCTTTGACCAGTGACGCCTGTAGATGATCCTGCCAAAGTTTCAGGTCGATTGGCAAAACCATCTGGGACGAGTTCACAAAAATAGGTGTTAGAGAAAAGTGGTAAAAAGTTGTATAATTTGACATTTTTAGAGCAGAAGACCATTGGAGGAAAGATGCGGATGAATCCAGAGATTAAAATAATGAAAGAAGTTCGACTCTAAACAAAGCCGCTTTCGAGATAATTGCAAAAACGTAATGTTCATTGTTATAGCGCCACCATGAGTGCCATATTTTTGCCTGAGTAGTGGGTAGAATGTGCAACCCACCTGCCAATTATTGTGAGTTTCCATCCAAACACCTTTAGCGGAAAGAAAGAAAGAAGAATAATCAGAACTAAACCTGTAGGGCTCCAGGATCCCTAATTAATTCACTATTTATGTCATAGAGGCTTGGTAAGGTATTTGTCAATAAATGGACATGTAAACAATTGCAGGGTTGCTTGACAGAGGATCTGTGTGCCTTCTTTGAAACACAATCTGTAATCAGAGGCAGGGCACTACACTAACCTTTACCCCAAGGAGTACATGTGTTCCTAAATAAAAGAATTTAAGAGCTCACGGAGAAATTTAGGAGCACAGTGGATGATATTCAAATAACACAGTTTCTTAACATTTTACTACATAATCCTTGTGTGCAATTTATTATGTGAAAACCACGGCACCCCTAACCCTAAATACCCAGCGAGCCACACCCAAACCTTGCTTATCTTATTCTTGGGCATATGTGAGTGAAATACTCGCACTGTAGAGCCCTCAGAGTCGTTACTTTATTTGGTTGAATACAACAATGTGTGTCATCAATTAAAAAAACAACAAAACAATAATAAATAGTTGACGTGTGTGTTCCCCTCTCCATTCTGTACTTAGGACACTGAGTAGCTCATCAGCGAATCTTCTTGTTCTCTGGTCTATTTTGTCAGCTTTTCAGATAAAATGTACTTGAACTCTTTGGAAGCCGTCTACCTCAGTCAGATTTTTAACTTGGAAAGAAGGTTGCTTATTAGGTAATTGGTCACTTTCACCCAGTGTTTATACTAGAACAATTAATCCAGTTTTGGACTGATATTTCCATGGGCTTTTTGAAGTTGGGAATCATTTTGGGATTAAATGGCAGGACTGTATCTTAAAGTTTTTGGCAATTGGAAACGATGATTTTTGATTTTTGAGTCATGTATTTTAATGTTTTATTGCTTTTTTGTTATTACTTGTTTTTAACAGATTGTGTGTTTTTATTTTTGAATTGATTATTGCTTTAAAAAGTAAACCATGACACATTTTGAAATTTCTCTTCACACAAGTTAAATGTTTTTAGTGTGTAGTACCTCTGTATAAACAGCAGAGGACAAACTTGCTTCACTGCCATGCACTGATATCCTCCCTGCTCCTGCCCTAAACTGCACTGGACACAAAGCTAATTTTCCTGTTGTGCCTGAACGCAGTAGCAGGACGTAAACTTGCCAGCTGCTGCCTTCCTTTTATCTTGCTCATTAAAGCTGCCCTCGAGTCCATGGCCCTAATTTCAAATCTAAATATTTCACCTCACTGTGTATGCTTTAGACCTCTAATGAGATTTTTTTTTAAATTCATTTTCTCAGCCTTATCAACCAAACATTTTAATCACAGCAGTTAAATACAAAATAGTTGAGAGTCTCCTAGAGTGTGATCTCATTTGGATTCAGACTGTTGAAGGAAAGGTGCCTGTTTCAGGAGTTATGTAAGACGTTTCACCTGAATGCATTGAAATGCAGCAGTTGCTGCTGAGTTGCGTCATGACCCGTCTGTCAGAGGTTTTGCTGGAGGGTTGCCCACAGACAGCATCACCATTGCTGTGTAGTAGAATTGGATTGTTTCCTTGCTTTTGAAGAGGTTTCAGTGGTTGATGTTGCCACAGGAGTGGAGTGCTGCACAGCGATGGGTCCCATTAAACACATACTGAGATCAAATAACTGCCTGTATGTTTGAAAAAGTCTGTATTCATTTATTCTGACGTATGAGGTTCATTCAGACATGGGTCTTATTCACGTACCATGAAGGAAGGAATCGTCGGAGCCCATTTTACAGGACTTGGCGTTGTGATTTGAAAGCTCTGGGGATGGAAAAGGCAAGAAATGAATGCAAAAATGTGTTTAATTTAAATGTTTCTTTTAGCAGTACAGACCTTTTCTTTATTTCTCAGTGAATATATGAATGAGTAAAACATTCTGCCAAAACAGCCCGTTCTTTCCCCTAAGGCTTGCCTTGGGTCCTTAAGCCTGGGATCGCCTGGACAGTGTTCACACTACACAATGTGACACAGATCAGCTGTAACACACGCGGACACAAAATATAAGGCGCTACCCAGTGCAGAGACATATGTTACCATCTGTCCAGAACAGTTACTAACTACTGTATTTGTTTTGTCATGTCTTCATAATACAGAATCTACAGTTTATGGTGGTATTTTCAAGTTGTAATCCTTAAGATTTCTGTCCTGGTTGATTTTAGAAACATGCTGAGTTACTTGAGGTATCAGCAAGTGTGGTTTAATACTACATCCGGAACCTCTTGAGCAGCTACTTTTTCACGCGTTTAAGCAGATCTGTTTACAGCACAGCAAAGTTGAGTGTTAACCTAAATGGATTCTCTCAGGGATTTGAATGGATTTCGATTTCAAAACGAGTTTCGATACTGAAATCTGAGAGAACGTGTATTTGACACTAGATTCAGATTGGGTAAAATGATATCATAACCTAACTGCAGTGCCTCACAAGAATTGGCAGCCTCTGTTCTGTTTGAAAAGGGATGCATTAATGATGCACCATGCATTTCTGTCCTTGGTGAGGTCCCACGTACAGCCTAGATTTTGAAATTCTGTCATAATCGCTTAAATCAGCTTGCCCCTGCATCTTGAACAGTATTGGGGGTAATATGTTACAAAGTAACGCATTACTGTAATCGGATTACTTTTGTTTGTAACGCAGTAATGTAATGCATTACTGTTGATAACTTCAGTAATCACATTACAGTTACTAATAACAAAATCATCACGTTACTTGCGAACTGGTTCTTGAGCTGTCTGCATAACGGGAGGAGAGAAAAATAAATCAAACTTTTCGTGCATGTTTGTGTAACACTTTTCCGACCTAACTTTTGACTTTAGCGCCAGTTCACGAGGACGTAGAAATGGCAGAGCTGCCAAAGATGTCTTTCGAGGGTTTTTTGCTCCGACTGAAAGCTAAAGAATCCTGTTGTGATTTAAACTCTTCTTTATGGTTAACACTTGAGGCCAAACAGTGGATCACTTCATAAATCCGAGGTAGAACATTCAAAACAATGATAAAATCTTTTAAGAAATATGCATGAGTACAATTAAGTAAAATCTTTTTCAGACCTTTTTCTTAAAAGAGAAAAAATTCCTAATTTGTGTATGATT